AAAAAAAAAAAAAAAAAAAAAAAAGGTCCAAATGTGGTTACATCACTTCAGACTGAAAACTTCCAAAGGCTTACCCCGTTTGCTCTGAGATCAAGGCCAGAGCAAATGGGAGGTCACTGCAGCCTCGATCTCCTAGGCTCAAGTGATCTTGATCCCCCCATTCCAGCCTCCTGAGTAGCTGGAACTACAGGCTCGCGCCCCCTCCCCAGGACTGCCCTCCATGATCTGGTCTGGGTCTACCCTGTGACCTCTTCTCACCCTCTAAATACAGTCATGTTCCTTCCTGCCCAATGGCTTGCAAACATGCGCTTTCCTGAAGGTAATGCGTTCCCCACACTCAGCTGTTACTCACCTTTTGGGTCTCAGATATAAAGCTATTTCCTCAAAGAAGCCTTCCTTGACCTCCATCCCCCAAGTTGGGCTAGGTGTGCTAAGTCTTCTTCATAGCACTTACCATAATTTAAGTGTTTGTGAAATTAGGTAATGCTGGTCTCCCCAGTTAATGATAAATCCAATGAGCAACATCATGTTCACTGCTGTCATTTAAGACAGGGTCCTGCTGTTGCCCAGGTTGAAGTGTAGTGGCACAGTCGTGGCTCACTGCGGCCTCCACCTCCTGGGCCCAGGTGATCCTGATCCTCTCACCTCCGCCTCCCGAGTAGCTAGGACTACAGGCACGTGCCACCACACCTGGCTATTTAAAAAAAAAAAGTTTTTTCATAGAGATGGATGTCTATGTTGCCCAGGCACTGGGCTCAAGCCTTGGCCTCCCAAAGTGCTGGGATTACAGCGTGAGCCACTGCAGTCAGGCAATTACTATAATTCTAATGCATTATTTCTCAACTAAACACATGCGCTTTATTCTAAGATAACCCTCCTGACAAGAATCATGGATTAACACAGATAGGTGTTCACACCCTAAGCCACCCCAAAGTTCAGCTTAAATGCCCAAACAAGTTTTTTGTTTTTTAAGATGGAGTCTTGCTCTGTGGCCCAGGCTGGAGTGCAGTGGTACAATCTTGGCTCACTGCAACCTCTACCTCTTGCGTTCAAGCGATTCTCCTGCCTTAGCCTCCTGAGTAGCTGGGATTACAGGTGCCCACCACCATCCCCGGCTAATTTTTATGTTTTATTTTTAGTAGAGACGGGGTTTCGCCATGTTGGCCAGGCTGGTCTCGAAGTCCTGAACTCAGGTGATCTGCCTGCCTCAGTCTCCCAAAGTGCTGGGATTACAGGCGTGATGGACTGTGACCGGCCTAAATGTCCAAACAATGTTTAATCTTCCCTAGACATATTCTAAAAACAAAAACAGCTTGACTTTATTTTTTCTTATGGAAGAGACTGTCACTAAATGAAATGGAACTGAAATGACACCATCCATACCTGAAGTAGTGGTTAGTGGGAGGGAACGCTGGCCTGTGAAAGGTACACCCAGCCAACATAGCAAGAGCAAATTAAGAGACCTGCATTTGAATCCTGGCTCTGTCTCTTCCTACTTGTTCCTCCTCTGGCAAGTTATTTAACCCCTCTGAGCCTCAGGTTCCTCACCAGGGAGTTAACAATAACATCTACCCTGTAAGGTTACTGCTAAAATTAAATGAGAGACTTGGTGTAAACAGTAGAAGTCACAATGCCAGGCATATGGGGAACTCTTTTTTTTTTTTCTTCTGAGACAGAGTCTCCCTCTATCACCCAGGTTGGAGGGCAGTGGCACGGTCTCAGTTCACTGCAACCACCACCTCCAGGGTTCAAGCCATCCTCCTGGCTCAGCCTCCCAAGTACATGGAATTGCAGGTGTGCACCCCCACACCCGGGTAATATTTAATATTTGTATTTTTAGTAGATAGGGTTTCGCCATGTTGGCCAAGCTGGTCTGGAACTCCTGACCTCAAGTTTTCTGCCTGCCCCAGCCTCCCAAAGTACTAGGATTACAGGCGTGAGCTACCATGCCCGGCCTAGAGAACTCTTAATACATTAACTGTTACTGCTTCTTAGAATGTTAATAATAAGTTCTTTCCTTATGCAGGCCCTTAGGGCCCATTTCTGGATGGCCTATGTGTAAATGCAAGGACTTAACACAAGGCTATAGCCAGTCCCCACACTCCAGGAATCAAATCTTGGCGCTTTTGCCTCAATGGCAGACCTATGCGTTAATGCAGGAAAAAACTCCACAAAGTGTCTCACGCTTCATTTAATCTGAAGAATATTACAGACTCTCCGTCTTCAGATATAAATTATTTATAACGTTACAGAACAAGCAGCGGATCCAACCATTTAAAAACTAGGTAAGTCTACACGGTGTTAATTTCTCACCACAGTCCTCCCGATCTGGTGGTTTAAAAAAGTCCCCCGGACCCCCATTTCAGTAGACGTGCACCATGCCATAGAGGAACGTCCAGAACAGGACGTAGGTGAACAGGCCTCCAATGAGGCCTCCTGTAAAGAGAGGTCTTCGTGATTTGAAATATTTGTTCCACCTCCTTCCCGCCTTGAGAATGAGGAGCAGGGAGAGCAGGACGGAGGCGAGCAGGTAAAAGATGAAGCCGTAGAGGCCCGTGAGGCCGAGGATGCCGGCCGTGGCCCCCGAGAGCGCTGACACCGAGGTCCGGCAGTAATCCAGGACGGCGGCGTTGCCCCGCACGGCCGCCTCGCTGATGAACGGCGGCCCTTCCCGCTTGGCCACCACCGCGGCCATCGCACCCGCCGGGGCTCGGCCTCTCGCTTTCTCGCGGGACAACGCGGAGCTGCAGAGAAAACCAAGTTACAAGTGGCGCCAGGAGCTCGGCGAGTTGGGTTCACGCCGCCGCCGCCGCCCCCTCCCCCGGAGCTTCCAAGAGCTGGCACCAGTCCTGGGCCTCGGACCTTCAAGAGACGCCGAGAAAGTTGAGGGTTCGGCCCGGCAAGGAGGCGGTGGCGCGTCTGCTTCCCTGGCCACGCTGGCCCAGTTACCTGGAACACGGCGCCGGACACCGTACTTAGCGTTCCCTTAGACAGGCAGGAGAAGAGACGCCCGCGGCGCCATCTTACACTGAAGGCTGCCGGGAGGTCTCGGGCTGCGCACGCGCCCTGATCCCGCCTCGCCCTCTGCGCCTGCGCCGTGGGCGCCCCGGGCACGCTCCGCCCCCAGCCCGTTTTTTTTTTCTTTTTTTTGCGCACGCGCCGGAACTTCCGAAAGTGGAGTGGCGCTCCGGCCGGTGATTGGCTGGAGGGCTTGTTAACTATTCATAAGGGGGCGGGCCGAGCAGGGCGGCCTTTGTTAAGCAGCGAAGGCGCGGCCGCGGGGACTCTGCTGCCTGCTTCTCCGAGCGGGGCTGGGCGACCAGAGCGGGTCGAGATGTCCTACATCCCGGGCCAGCCGGTCACCGCCGTGGTGGTGAGTGCGCTTGCGCGGGCTCCTCCTCGTCTTGGCCCGATCTCACCTCGCAGAGCGGGAAACTGAGACCCCAAGCAGGTTGACAAAGCATCGAACCCGGGGCTCCTGCGAACCGGCGGCCAGGGCTCGGGTCCTCGCCTTGCCGGAGCGGGACGCAGCTGCCCCAGCCACGGAACAGGGACGGCCGGCACCCTAGAGCCTCCCTAGACCCTGGGCAGAGCCCAGACCGCGCGCGCGGGGCGGGGAGGGCCACGGAGCCTGGGAAAGCGTCCCCTTCCCGGGCCTCAGTGTCCCCAGCCGGGCAGCTGCGGGGGGGCGGGCGCCGATCCCGACGTCCGTGAGTCGCAGCCTCTGGAATGAGGAAATGCTTCCTCCGTTGCAGCCCGCGCCGCCGCCCGGAGGACGATCTGGGGGTGGGGCTGTCCCGAGCCTGCTGTGGCAGCCCCTTCCCCGGTCTGTCCAGCCTTGCTGCTCTGATCCACGCGCCGCCCGGCCCAGGGTGGGCGCTCACACAGCTGGGATGAGCGTTTCCTCTTCGAACTTTTCTTGGATCTCCAGCCCTTGAGGCAAAAAAAGTCCAGGCCTTCTTTCCGGCACTTGAGACCTGAGGAGACCCTCTAGGGGCTAGCGTAGGCCCCTGGCCACCCTCTGGCTTGTTTTAGGTGCTGGGTGCTATTAGATTAGGCAGAAAGAGGGAGGGAGACTGGGACATTAGACTCAGACGCCTGTGTCAAGACGGGACGGGGCCTGGAGGCCAACCCTATGGCAGAGGTGGGGAGACCCAGAGAAAAGTCTGATAGTGCTCAGCCAGAAAACACGACGTCAAGACTCAGGTCTCCTGCCCACCTCCCGAGAGCGGTGAACGGGAAGCAATGTCCGCCCGGTGGGCAATGGGTCAAGTGAAATTCCCTGCCCCAGAGCTGTGGGGACCTGCTGTGTACTCTCAGATGGGTGTGTCCAGCAGTCAGGTGGGTGGAGGCAGAGAAGTCACTGATAAAGGTGGCATGTGAGGCTGAGCCTGCAGCACCCGCTCAGGCCCAGGCCCGGAGGAAGCATTGCCAGACCAGCTGACAGCTGTCGTAAGCTTCACCTTCCCCGCACCAGCCTGGATGTTTCTTTTGGACACGGAGTCGCATTCTGTCACCCAGGCTGGAGCACAGTGGCATGATCTTGGTTCACTGCAGCCTCTGCCTCCTGGGTTCAAGCAATTCTCCTGCCTCAGCCTCCCTAGTGGTTGGGATTACATGCATGCATCACCATGCCTGGCTAATTTTTGTATTTTTAGTAGAGATGACCCCATGTTGGCCAGGATAGTCTCAAACTCCTGACCTCAAGGGATCCGCCTGCCTCGCCCTCCCAAAGTGCTGGGGTTACACGTGTGAGGCACCCCGCCCACCCAGCCTGGCTTTTCTAGGTCCCCAGCTGCCCCAGAGAGAAGGCACCAGGTTTGCTCTTTAGCTAGAAGTGGGGCAGGGGCAGGTGAGGAGCTGAGCAAGCCACCTTCTGTGTGACCTCCCCCAGCAAATAAGTGAAAGCCCTGTCCCCCAACCCAAGGGCCTCTACCCTTCTGACCACGTGGATGGAGCAGGCCTGGAGGAACTGTTTTGGGCCTGAGGATGCAGGCCCAGTGGGCCTCAGGGGTCATGTTGCCTGTCCCCCTCCCTCATTCCGTGGTCTCACGGCCTTCCCAAAACTGTAGGCCCATGCCCCCCGATTCTAGTAACACCAGGAACGTGCCTGACGTGGTGTGTGTGGCCTGGCCTCTCCCTTGAGTCTTGGATTGGGGGTGGGGTTGGGCAGGCTTACTCCCGTCTCCACTGCCTTCCATGTAGAATTTCGAGAATATTAAAGCCACTTAGGACTCTTCCCCTGAACTCTGGCTCCGTAGATCCATCTGCCTTCTGGACACCTGCCCCACAGCTCCTGATACCCCAACTCGACCTGCTCCTCCTCCTCCTGGGTCCCCATCTGGGTGATGTGTGTTCAGCCAGGCTGGACTCCTCCTCTGCATGAGTGCTCCCCAAGGCTGTAGATCTCCATTTTCGGGGAGCTCAGTGTCCCCTGGCCTCTGCTTCCTGCTTTTGTGAGATGTCCGTTCTTCTGCTGACCACCTGAGTGGTCATTCTAGCAGCAGAGCTGACCATGCCCTGCCCTACTCAATTCCTGAGAACTCCAGTGGGTTCAGGATCAAGGTCAGGCTACTCCTCACCCCCTCGGGCTACAAAGAACCCCCTCTTTGGGAAAGCTCTTTAGGTCTAGTCTAGTTTGTCATCTTTTTCTTTTTTCTTTTCTCCTTCCTGTTAAAACTCTCAACTTTCGGAGTGATCTGGTCTGGCTCCCAGCATCTGCTGACTGGAGGGTGCTTGCCAAGGGCTTTGAAAGGAACCTGGCACAGTTGGGGACCACAGCCCCAGAGCATGGTGGGAGTGTCCTAGAACACTCTGCACTGCACAAGATCAGGGCCCGGGGCTTAGGGAGATGCCCCTACTCCCCTTCCAGGACAGGATGTGGCCCCAGTCTTATAGCTGCGGCCTCATCTCGACGCCTAGTTCTGTGTCCCGTGCTGTACACTTGTCTCACCAACACGAATCCACAACACCTTGAAGCCTGTGCTCTCATCCCTGTGGCTGGCAAGCCCTTTCTCTCCTTTCTATGCAAGTTTGGTCTCTGCTTTTCCAGCGCACCTCCTGGGAGATGGGCCTCCCACCCACGGAAGCCATAGCACCCTGACCCTTGGGCCAGGAGGGGCTTAGAGCACATGTTGACCAAGACTAGTGCCTGAGACTCACAGAAGTGGGAACAGGCTGCGGACAGAGGGCTGCATGGGTGGGTCGATGTGGCCAAGTTCTGAGTGCCAGCTCCTCAGCCTCCCAGACTGGCAAGCGGCTGGATTCCTGCAGGGGCCTGGGCCCCACCCCCTTGGCATGGTGCTGAGGCTGCTGCCGGGGACACACAGCAGCCTCATTCTCCACCCACCCACCTCCCTCAACTTGCTTTTTTCTTTGCCAGCAAAGAGTTGAAATTCACAAGCTGCGTCAAGGTGAGAACTTAATCCTGGGCTTCAGCATTGGAGGTGGAATCGACCAGGATCCTTCCCAGAATCCCTTTTCGGAAGACAAGACAGACAAGGTGAGAGGGTGTGGGGTCCTGGGACCGCTCCATGGGGCACTGGGGCCTGAGATGATGCGTCTCTGCTTCCTGGGTCTGCATGGAAGGAGCAGACCTCACCTCAAACCATGCTAAGAAGGCATCGGAAGTGACCTGGTGGGAATAAGGATGGGTAGGGGTGAGGACGGGCTGCCCAGACAGAGCCCCGGAGGGGCAGGGGGCGGCCATGAGCAGCACTGGTGCGTGGCTGGGCAGCCGCACTCTGCCCTGGCTGTCTCGGAGCAGTCCTCACTGTGTGTGCTGGGAGAGGCTGGGTGCAGGCACGGAGGGATGGCTGGGAGAGTGCCATGCTGCCTTCTGCTCTGTGGCTAAGGGGCCAGGCTGGTGACTGCAGGGCTGGCCCCTTACCCACAGAGCAGAAGCCAGCATGGTGACCTGGGCTGCCTTGTTTCAGGGCATTTATGTCACACGGGTGTCGGAAGGAGGCCCTGCTGAGATCGCCGGGCTGCAGATTGGGGACAAGATCATGCAGGTAACGGGCGTCCCAAAGGCGGTCTGGGCTGGCAGGTCTGCAGCATGTGGTGTGGGGGCTGCCCCGGCCTCCCAGCTGGGAGAGACACTGCAGCTGACTGGGAACCCAGGCTGGCGTGCCCCAGAGAACGCTGGCTTTCTCTCCTGTGTGTGTCTCAGCCACAGTGCTTGGTGTCCCCCAGCCCTGGGATGTTAGGCTGGGGGGCCTGCTTGAATGACCTGGGCCCCCCAAGCCATCTGCTTACAGAGCCCCAAGGGCAGGGAGCTGAGGGGGGCCTGTGTTCTCTCCCTGGGCCAGGTGAACGGCTGGGACATGACCATGGTCACACACGACCAGGCCCGGAAGCGGCTCACCAAGCGCTCGGAGGAGGTGGTGCGCCTGCTGGTGACGCGGCAGTCCCTGCAGAAGGCCGTGCAGCAGTCCATGCTGTCCTAGCAGCCGCCATCGCCCGCGACTCACGCCTGCTGTCTCTGAACAGTAACACCACTTCCGCACCCGGTCCCCATCCTGGCTTCTGCTGAGCGCTGGGCCTCAGCTCAGAAGGGCAACAGCTGATCCCAGAGGCCCATCCCTGGCCTGGGGCCTCTGGGACCAGCTTTCTTCCCTGGACACGCCTGGAGCTGAGTGGTAGCTGGTCTGCTGTGACCACAGGTTCAGGCCCGACCCTGTTGCCCAGCCACAGCAGTGGGTGGGCGAGTGGGAAGCACCTCCTCTTGGGAGCCGCCAAAGCTGGGAAATGCAAGGTGGGGGGGGCTTTCCCACTTTGTCCAGGCTGCAGAGCTCGGCTCTTCCTCTGCCTGTGTGCCCACCTCTACCCGACAGTGCAGCTCTGCCCCCACCTGTCTGCCCACCTCTACCTGACAGTGCCTCTGCTCATTAGGGCACTGGCCACACATCCCACCAGAGGCGCTATGAAGGTTGCCTGGCACCTGTTCACTCCCACTGCCCCAGGGGTGCTGGCCTCCCCAGGGTTCACCTTCTTACAGGATTTAGCTGACACTTCAGGGCAGCTCTCAGGATTGCCATTTTCCTCTTTGCCTGTGGGTTTGACTTTTGTATTTTTTTAATCACAAGTTTGATACAAAATATTTTTATCATACTCTTCCGCGACACCCATTCTGCTTTTGAATGTAGCTTACTGATCACGTCTGGAAACTTACAGGTGCGCAGCCCGACTCCATTACTGTGGAAGCCACTGCCGCCCTCCCCGACGTCGCGTGCTCAATAAACAGTGCTGGAATTCACAGGGTCTTTGCTGATGCACGGGCTGGGGTATCTCAGGGGTGGGATACTGGGGCCAGAGCTGTGGTTTTAAGGATGGCCCCATCCCCCACTGTTCTGGGACAAAGCTCACCTCTCCCAGGCCTACCTGCCTGGCAAGCCTGGGGCTGGTGGGGCTGTAGCAGCTGCCCTGCGCTTGCTCAGAGCCACATCTGTGGGAGCTGTGGCGGGACCCTGGGGTGCATGTGCTTTCTTGGTGTTACTGTGAAGCTCCTGCTTGTTCCTAACTTCCTTTTTGCAACCTAGAAACCCCTGCCTGTAAGACTTTTCAGGGCACTGGTATCACAGTGAGGAACACAACCCCACGTGTTCCTGGGGCTATCGTCGGGCCAGATGGGGGTGAGCCAGAACCCAGCCGACCTGCCTACCAGCTCTGGGAAGGTGTTAGCACTCCTGAGCTACCGAGCACGGCCAAACCAGATTTTAAAGAAAAGTCAATCATCTCTTTTTTTTTTGAGACAGAGTTTCGCTCTTGTTGCCCAGGCTGGAAAGCAACGGTGCGATCTCTGCTCACTGCAACCTCCACCTCCTGAGTTCAAGCAATTCTCCTGCCTCAGCCAACAGAGTAGCTGGGATTACAAGCGCCTAGCGCCATGCCCAGCTAATTTTTGTATTTTTAGTAGAGATGGGGTTTTGCAGTGTTGGCCAGGCTGGTCTCGAATTTCTGACGTCAGGTGATCTGCCTGCCTTGGCCTCCTGAAGTGCTGGGATTACCAGTGTGAGCCACTGTGCCTGGCTGGAAAAGTCAGTAATTTGGAATCTCTCATTTTTAAAATTAAAGTATGGCACCCAGTAACATTTACTGGGTGGCATGAGTGAAACAGGTCTATGGACCTGGTCTGGCCGAAGTCTCTGCTCTGCAGAAACCAGCCCTTAAATTCTCTGATGTTTGTTAGAACAAGACAGGAAGAAGGTGGAGTGGGACCCCCACTGCCCCAGCTCCCAGTGCTGGTATGCCCTTCAGGACCTCAGCCGCCCCACTCACATCCAGATGAGTGGCGTGCCGTGGTAATAGACAGCCATGGTGCCTGGGAGACCTACCTGGCCCTGGGTGGGCGGGCGTCTTGCGCTACCCAAGAGGGCTCCCCAGTGCAGTGTGGGGTCAGCACGCAGCCACCTCGGGTCAGCAAACTCCACAACCTTACGAGCTTCTTTACGTGACGGGAGCAAGGGCACTTGGCTCCGAAGGCCAGCACACCTGCCTTCTGTATAGCAAACGCTCAGAGTGCAGAAAGGAACAGGAGTCAGGTTTTAATTCAGGATAACCGGCCCCTCGCGCTGATCTTGTAGAATAAAACTCAGTGGACTGAAACTCAAGTCCTGTAGAAGGCACGTTCTGGGACCCTCCCCTCCGCCACAGAAAGGACGACAGCTTTGGGTGGGGGGAAGCGGGTGTGAGATGAGGGCTGGGCCATACAGATTGTGCAAGGTGATCTCAAGTACAAATACTTCTCTGAGGCTCCAGAACAGGCCAGAAATTGGTGAGCCTCTAGTAGGGGTCTGGGGAAAGCGAGAAGAAGGGGGCGTGTCCTCCCTCCAGGAGAGCTGGTCGCTCTTTGGCAGGCCTAACAGACCTCTAAGGCACAGACCGGTAGCGGGAGAGAGGTGTGTCCTGTACCCCAGACACTGGGTAAGGAGCAGCTGGGTGTGTTCGGATGGGGCTCATCTGACGGAAAGTGGAGGTAGGAGAGAGGGCAGAAGAGCGTAAGCCACTTCAAACGGCCCTCCAAAAACCCTGATGGGAGTTAGTATGCTAATCTGCTGGGTGCGACTCCAATCCAGAACTATCTGGTGGACACCTCAGGGCTCAGCAATGCTCTGGGTAAGGCCAGCTGTTACTGCAGTCGTGGGCGCTCAGTTATGTAGAAAGAGTGCGTCAGGAAAGTGGCCTTCGGAGAAAGAACCCCACGTCCGAGCCCAGAGTCCTAACCCGAAGTCTGAGCCCCTCCACCAGCACCTCTGAGTCCGTTGGCCACGGCGCCTGGCTGCTTGGTCTCTGGGAACACAACGGTGGCAGCAAAGTGCCCTTGGCACTCCCGGCTGGAAGGTCAGCCCTTCAAGCTGCTCCCAGACACGCTGGTAGTTTGGGGCAAGGCCTTCGGCTGCAAGCTCATTGCCCAGTCCTGCCTGAGGCGGCTGCCAGAGCCTGTGCACGCTGCCTGGAGCCTTAAAGAAAAGAGAGATGGCGGCATCAAGACGAAGGTGCCGCGTGCCTGTTTGGGGAGGCCTGGGGCGGGCCCGGGCGAGAGCAGGCTGCTGAAAGACCTTTGGCCCCAAGGAGCAGCGCGTTCCCTCTGTCCGCGCACTGAGTCGGCCCTGAATGCCAGGGCCCAGCCACTTCTGCGGCCTTCGCTGCGTGGGGTCTTCCCCACCGGGCACGAGGCCTGGGGCTGTGTACACTGGGTCCCTGGGCACTAGTCGAGCTGGTCGTACCCCGGTCTCTTTCTGTACAAACAGAAATGCTGGATGAAGAAGATGATGTCGAAGAAAATGGAGAAGAGGCCGAGTCCAAACTTGGTTGGGTCTCCGAAGATCAGCGTCCACTGGTCTGCGAGCAGCGGGGGACGGAAGCTGGGGTTAGGCTGGCGGCTCCAGAGGCCGCTGGAGCACGCGGGTGGTGGGAGGTGGGAATCCCAGAAAACCACAAATCCGCCAGCTACAAAGGTTCCTAATGGGTCTGTCCGTGGGGGCGGCTGGGCTTGGATCCCAGGCGGGGGTGGAGACTGGCGGAGGGCCCCGGGGGCACCGCGGCTGACTCACCGTTGTTGTAGGACTGCAGAAACATCTGCAGGAGGCTGAAGCTGCCCCCGGTAAAGTCCAGCAGCACGTTGCCGATGCTCCAGCCCTCAGTGCTTTTGTAGTGAAAGTTCATGTAGGCCTGGGCCAGACGGACAGACACATGGAGGGCGGTGGGGGGGCGGCTGCCTCCCGCACCTCGTGACTGTCCCTCCAAACAAGAGCGGTTCTCACTCCTCCCACTTGGGCCATGGCTCCAGGGAACACAGTGACCTTTGGGCTATGACAGGCCTTGGCCAAAAACAGTTTGCGTGGTCCTGGGGGCAGGGGCCTCATCTGCATGTACAGCAAGCAAAGGCCCCCCCCCAACTCCAGTGGAGGCAGGCCAGATGCCGCCTTCCTGGCTCCTCCCCGTCCCTGGGGACAAGGCTAGTTTCCCAGCAGCTACGATTCTTCTCACCTCCAGTGAAGGCTGTCCCCCCTCAGCCTGGACTTCATGCTGTGCTTAGGGACTGGGTGGGGAGCCGGACTGCTGGTTTGGAAGCCCAGCTCCGTCACTGGAGCTTGCTACCTGGGGCAAGCGCCTACTTCTAGCCTTAGCTTCCCCATCTGTAGAGTGGGTTAACTCCCGCCGCAGGCCTGGCGGAGGCTTCCTGGGTCTGGAAGTGGGTCTGTGGGGGATGTGCCCCAGTCTGACTGGCTGTGCTCCCCATCCTCCCACGCCACAGAACCCCGTGTGTCCTGTGCTGCCACCTTTCCTTCCCCCAGCCACGCAGCAGCGCCCTGAGGGTCCTCTGACTGCTGCGACCTTCCCTTCCCCCGCAAGGCAGGTCTTGGCCTCGAAGTCAGCCTCCACTGGGTCCCGACTGTGTACTGGCTCTCCCTCTTCTGTACCTGCTGCTGCCCCTCCAGTCCCGGACAATTCCAAATGCCTCCAACCCAGGGACCTGCCTCCCCAGCTTCTCGGCCCGAAGCCTTCCCACCCTCAGGGACTGAGCCCCACTTCCCCAAATCGTCCCCTCCTCGGAAGCCCTCCCCAGCTCCAGGGCCCTGGCCCGGCCTCCGGGCTTCAACACCCTCAGTACTGTTCCAGCAGCCCGTGCCCTCACTACCCCGCACTGTCTGGCCCCCACCTCTGTGCAGGCTGCCCGGCCTGGAACGCCGCCGCCTCCTTGTCCATAGAACTCAGTCCTGCTTGCCCTGAGCGCAGCCCCGCCTCCCCCTCGAACCCTGTCCCTCCCAAGGCAGAAAACACGAGGCTCCCAGGGCTGGGGACACGGAACGGGGCTCCTCCCTCGGGGAATGGGGTGAGTTAAATGAGGCTCTACATCCCCAGGTGCCGCAACTGCAGCCCGACCCTGTCCCAGCTGTGCTGGCCCGGAGTCCCCGGGTCTGAAGAGGACGGCTGTGCTCCTAGGAGGGGCAGAGCTCTGCACAGGGGGCTCCCTCCCCCCACCTCACCTCTCCCGTCTCCACTGTGGCCCCCGGGGCTGCCCTTGCTGTAGAAATGGAGGCAGTGGTGGCGGCAGAGCCAAAGGCATCAGGAAAGACTGGGGTGTCGGAAGGGGAACCACCCTCACGACGTCTGATGCTCAGGGGAGCATGGGGTCCCAGAAGCCTCCCCTAAAGACCTCATGTGACTCCAGCCAGAGGAAGAGTGGCAGGCTGGCTTCCCCATGCCCCGCTCCTGCTGGGTTCCCCGACTCCCTGTGGCTTTCCGTCCTGTCTCCTCGCCCTGGCAGGGGCTGGCGCACAGGAGCAGGGTCCGGACGGTGTACCTCTCACCCCTCCCACGCCGGCCATG